ACCAAATTCATTATAAAGGGGACGATGGTAAAATTGGGCAAAAGTCCCAGAATTTTCACTCCAACCAGCAGTGGTCCTAATAACATCAATAGAGATTCCTTGGCTCCATGCTTTTGATGTGGAAGCATGTCTAGTTGAATGAGGTTTAAACTGGTCAGTATTAACTCCGGCTCTCGTCATTGTTAACTTTACCCAATTTGATAAAGTTTGCTTGCTCAGTTGTTTTAATGGCTCCTTTTCAGTGATGAATAGAAATTCTAAGTTAGTTCGAAGAGTTGCTGTTCTTTCCAGATAATTCAGTAGTGTTGAAGCCACACAGAGTGATGGGTTTTCATCAAAAAATGATATTGTCAAACAAGGCTGGCTTCTGCCTGGTTTAGAAGTTTTGATTATATCCGGAATAAGGATTTGTAATCCCTGTGGATTAACAATTATATTTTCTACTTTAATTAAAGAGAGGGTTTGTAACCTTTGGCCTGTTATGAGTGTAAGAAGCATTATTAGTTTCATGCCTAATTCTTTCAGTGACAGTGTTTCATTAGGGGTTTTTGTTTCTAAGTAATCCAGGACTATTTTAGGGTCCCACGTTATTTTGTATCTTGGTTTGCTTGGTCTTCGTTTTGAGATGCCCTTCAAAAATCTACAGATTATTAGGTTTCTGCCTATATCACCTGGTAATACTAAAGCCAGTGCTGAACGACATGAATTAAAAGAACCATATTTCCACTTCTTAGTTTTCGACATGTGCTGTAAAAATTTTAGGACTTCAGTTACTTCTGCCGTATACGGGTTAACATTTGCTTCTTCGCAGAATTGCCACCATTCTTTATAAATAGAATTGTACTGTTTAAATGTGTTTTCTGATAGTGATTCCAGGCATGTTTGGATTGCTTCCTCAGGAATTTTCTTCAGTTGGAAGGCTTCCCCGACAAATGTGCTGCCACCAGGGTAAGTGTTGCTGCAAGTGGATGTTGAAGTCTAAAAGGAGAAGACAATAGATTAGGCTGTGGCTTAAACTTAATAGGCTGGCCTACTAGTAATTTTAGATAAAGTGGATACCAAGGTTGGGACTGCCAGTTAGGTAGAACAACTATGCCTTCAGCTTTATCTTGGACAATTTTGTTTAGTACTTTAAGTACTAATGAGAATGGAGGAAAAGCATACAAATATAGGTTTGTCCATGGCACAGTGAAGGCATCAATGGCCTCACATCCTGGGTTTTTTAGCCATGAAAAATATCTATCACATTTCGTATTTGCCCTAGAAGCAAATAGATCAACTTCTGGGTATCCATATTTAGCGACAATCATAGAAAAAGCTGATTGGGACAATTCCCACTCAGTTTCCTCTGACAATATTCGTGAACTTTCATCTGCTATGTTGTCTTTTGACTTTACATAAGAAGCTAAAAGCCATATATTTCGAGCCTCGCACCATTGCCATATTTCTTTAGTAATTTCATTCAATGCTGGATGTTGTACACTACCCATTTTATTTATATACGCAACTGCTGTGGTATTGTCCACTCTTAGCAGTATGCAGATTGATTTTCTGTCATTTACAAAACATTTGAGGGCGAAATAAATAGCTTTGAGTTCCAAAATGTTTATATGCAGCTCTACTTCATGACTGTTCCACCATCCATGAACTGTTTTTTCATTACATACTGCCCCCAACCAGTTTTACTAGCATCAGTATAAATTTCAAATTGGGGTGTTTCTAACCTAATGTTGTTATATGCATGAAGCAAATTGATTTCCCACCAGTTCATGTCTCTTTTCAGGTTATTGGATATTGAAACTACTTTATTATAATCCCCATTACACTTTTTCAAAGCTAAGTATTTTTCTCGCTCAATGGATTTAGTATACAGTCTTCCATATTTAACAGCTGGACAAATAGAAACTAATAAGCCAGCAATGTGAGCCAGGAATTTAATTTTACATTTAGAACTTTTTTCAACTTAGTAATTGAGTTCTTGATTTTGTTATATTTTTCTTGGGGAAGTTTTATAATCATGTTGTTTGTATCAAAAATAAATCCCAAAAATAAACAACTAGTTTTTGGGGTTAAATTGCATTTTTTAAAATTGACTAAGAAACCCAACGATTGTAATGTTTCTACAACAAACCTGGTATTTTTATTAGCTAATGAAATTGAGTCATGAATTAAAATCCAATCATCTATGTATGCAACACAAGATATTCCCTTGCCTCTAAAATATTTTAGAATTGGTCTAATTATTTTTGTAAATAAGTAAGGAGCAAATGAGATCCCAAATGGGAGAACTTGAAACTCATAATAGTTACCTTCAAAATGAAATCTTAAGAATTTTTTAAAGTTTTTATCAATTGGTATTGCAAAATAAGCATCCTTTAGATCAATTTTTGTTAGGTAGGAATTTTGTTCCAGCAGCTTACACACTGTTCGCCCATCCTCCATTTTAAAATGGGGTGGATTCAAGAAAACATTTAAGTTTTTTAAGTTAAGTATAAACCTGTATTTTCCATTTGGTTTGTCCACTAAAAAGTAAGACGAAATAAACTGACCTTCAGTAGCTGCACACAGTTTTACTGCACCTAGATTTATTAATGAATTAATTTCCAGTTTAAGCTTTGTTTTCTCACTGTTGGAGAAACGCCTGTTCACGATTCCATTTTGCTGTTGAGGGGTTGAATGGAAAGGAATTTTGAAACCTTTCAACCAGGAAATTACTGCTTCGGAAGCTCCCAGGGCTTTCCAATTTTGTATAAAATATGGCAACCTACCTACTGCTGGTAAGGGTAAACTACAACTTACTTTTATTTGTTCTTCCTCGGAAATTGTTTTTTCTTGTAATAAACACTTTGGTTGGAGTGTTGCTGATATTGCTGGCGATAGCGAGGTCTTTGCTGGGAATTTTGGCCCTGTTGTTGACGAGGTTCCCCCTTCCTCGAAGGGCCATATAAGTTTAAATTCTGTTTCAAATTTAAAGGTGGCCTTTTGGTTTGGTTCACCAAACTAATATCTTTCGCTGATCTTTCAGCAGCTTTAGCTGTTTTCAGCTTTTCCCCAAAGTTTTCCCCATATAGATATTTATCAACTGGGGTTGTTGCAGCTAACTCCACTACAGTTTTATTTAGTGAGTTATTGATCATGGACCTTCGCTGAATTGACAACTGATTTTGTAAACCAGAATAATGTCTGACCACGTCAGAAATAATTGAAATATATTCCTTTTTTTTGAATATATTCTCCTTCGTCCTGCAACATTTTGTTGAGTGTGTACAACAAAGTACCTAACCCCTTTGCATTTTGTTCTTGAGTTTGTGTCATATATTTATCTTTGGTTATGGAGATTTGCTGTAAAGAAGCCGATATTTCTGGGTTGAGGATTGGTGGCCCCAAGTTTATTTCCTTTGGTTGGGGGTAATTGGATAACAGGGTTTTCTTAAGCTCTTTGTCTAAGCCTTTTGCTAATATAAAGCTTACCCTTTTAGACAGCTCTGGGTGAAGGTCAAATATATTTTTGTCGGCTCCTTCTGGGTCCTCCCCCAGGCAATTCATAATATCATCTGATAAGTCTATATTGACTGTATCTTGAGGGGTTTGGGCTTGAGCCGCCGGACTACTCGAGCCCCGATCGGTTCTGAATACTGGAGTAGCCGAGCTTCTCGAGTCTCGGTCTGCTCGTGAAAAGGGGGTCGCCGGGCTTCGCGAGCTGCGGTCGACAGTGGAACTTGTATGAGCCATGCTATGCCAGTCATGGACTTCGGCCGAGCCACTCGGGTCACGGTCCTTATTCCTATCTAAGGTTTTCCTACCTTGTTTTCGCCTCTTTGTTCGCCTTTCCTTTGATGGAGATGGAGACCTGTTTCTTCTGCGAGAACGCGTTTCTATGGATGTACTTTGTCTTCCAAACGAAGGCGAACGCTTTCGCTTTTTCAGATCGTCTAGCTTCTTTTGAAGCATTTCCAGTTCTGAGTCTATAGAAGAGGATCTAGGGGATCTCCTTCGGGACTCGTTTTCTAGTTTCCTTTTATGTTTTCCCATTACTTTATTCAATTTTATTGAAGAGATAAATTTTTTGCGCCTTTTCTGTGCACAGAAAATAAAGACTGACAGTTCACGCGTCACCCGTCAAGGAGCATGACAAGGCGTGGGGCGCGTTCCTTTTTTCTTTAAACTCTGTGGCGCTATCTGGCAGAAAGTAGAGGTACTACAAGTTATATAGTGATCTAGAGGACGAAGTGCAAATGCATATAATCGGAATTATATGAGGTGCCCCGTCCGTAGATATCACACTTGGTAGTGTCGCCTTTGCGCACTTATGACCACAAATTTTAAAGAAGAAGAGGCAAATAGCCCGTTCTGCCGCTAACTTCTCTTAATTCCTTTCACCCTAACCTCATTTAAAAAAGGTAAAAAATATTTTTTTAAGTTAATACTTGCAAGCTAAACATTACTTACTTTAGGGAAGCGCAATTGTCGATGGATACAAGATCCCTTTCATGTTGATTGGGGATCCGGCATATCCATTATTGCCTTGGCTGTTAAAAGCATATTCCGGTAATGTGTCTGAAGCCCAGGAATCCTTCAATGTTTATTTAGACTCTGCAAGGGTGTCCATAGAAATGGCTTTTGGAAGATTAAAGGGTAGGTGGAGAATGCTTTTAAAAAGAATGGATGTTTCCTACAAATTCGCTCCTCAACTTATTATTGCTTGCTGTGCACTCCATAATATGGCAGAGAAAAACCGGGATGTTTTTTTACTGCATTGGATGGAGGTTGTGTTGTGTTGGAAACTGAGAAAGTCTACCAACAGCCACAAGGGGAATTGAGTCGTGAGAGAAGTGCACCTACTGCTTCACAGACAAGAGATCATCTTATGGAATATCTTGCCCGAAATTTCCCGCTAAGACAATCAATTTTAAGACGCTGATTAAGTAAAATACAATTTATACAAAACTCTGTTTATTGTTCAGAATAAAACAATAACATAGAAAAAATAATGCCAATTCTTATTTTAATTCCTTGTTCTGTTTTTCCACTTCAGCATCTTTCAAGTTCCTTTGTGACGTTAGCTGAAATTAATAAAATAAATGTTTACAAAATACTTTGTTACTCTTGATTAGCTACATACGTTAACCAATCTCAAAGGACCAAGGTTGCTCACAGTAGGTGGTCTCAAAGACTGAATGCATTGTGTAAACATCTGCATCATGGTTTCAGTCTGTTTTCGTTGGAATTCTTGTTCTTTTTCTAACATTTCTAACTCCCATTGTCTCTGTTCACGGTTAGCTGTTTCTAACATTTCTTTCTGTGAATCTAACATCTTGGTTATTGTATTATTAATAAGGGTTCCTTGCTTTTCAAGCAATTTTTCACTATATTCATTTAAGGCAGCTTTATAGCTTTTTCTCCCTTCAAATAATACAATAATAATTAGATATTACATAAAATTATATTATATATGTAGGTACGTCCCACTCACCTTCAACATGGGAACGCGATCTTTTGGCTGAATGAGGAGTTTCTGAATTTGAATCTCTACTGGTGCCCTCACCAGGATCAAAATCGGTCACATCCTCAGCTTGCTCACCTAGAATTGATTAAATAAATTATTATTGACTAATACTATACACTATTTATAGCTTTTTCTCCATTCAAATAATACAATAATAATTATTACATAAAATTATATTATATAGGTATGTCCCACTCACTTTGAACATTGGAACGCGATCTTTTCGCTGAATGAGTAGTTTCTGAATTTGAATCTCTACTGGTGCCCTCACCGGGATCAAAATCGGTCCCATCCTCAGCTTGCTCACCTAGAATTGATTAAATAGATTATTATTGACTAATACTGGTTGAGTTCGTTTATTTCATCTGCGAGCAAAATGAGCAAAATTTGACAGATATTGCGTGATTTTACCGTCAAAATTTGCTCATTTTGCTCGCAGATGCAATAAACGAACTCAAGCACTATGAACTATTATTAATCAGGAAATAGGAAATAAACCTTTTACTTACCATAAAAGATATCAGTACATTATTCCTGTTCAATTTCGTAGTCCCCTGTATCTATGCCTTCAGTACAGTCCATATTAACAGCTAAATTGGGCCTTAAACTAAATAGTAAATCTAGTTCTTCATAGAATGGACATGTTGATGGTGCTGCTCCACTTTTGCTGTTGTTTTTTTTACAATTTATGTACTCTTGTTTAAGTTTTTTCAATTTTAGCTTCATTTGGTCCGGTGTCTTCTCAAAACCTTGGTCACTCATTCCTCTCACCAACATTTTAAAAATATCCACATGCCTAAACTTCTTTGTGTCCATTAATTGAACGATTTTTTTTTCAATACATAGTTGAAGAAACGTTTTTATTTCAGCTTGTGACCAATTAGGTCCCTTTTTTTTTTGGGTCGCGGACATTTCTTGTGTATTTCGTAATAAATTAATTTCAAACAAGGTAAATCCTTACAAAGAAATAACAAATGTACCGCAAATACACCACACTTGGGGGCTATTCCGGAATTCGCATCAGCGCATCGCAGCAGCAACAATTGTCAAAGCGTTCCGTAATAGAAAATGGTGCATTAGCAGCATTGGCGCCACTGGATTTCGGAACGGAAAGCTGGGATGTGCTGTCACTAGTGTCAATGTCAATCAATTTATTATTTTGTTTTTGATAGGATATATTTGTGCTTTCTGTTTTTGATTTTTGTTTTGTTCCGAGTTCTGACTTTTTGTGGCTAATTTTCTCAATTAAACTAGTAAGTAGTAGATACCCCATTATTTTCTGTTAAAAATCGAGAAATTCAGACAGGAAAGCACTAATGTCGAATATGACAACAAAAGGGCAGAAGGAAATGTGTGCCTCTGCCTCTGCAATGATGATGGTTTTTAATGATGAGTCTGATAGTACAAGTAGCTCCAGTTCTGAAGAGGAAGATCTCCAAACTTGTGTTCAAATACAAATTAATCATAATATAAATACTATTACTGTTGCCACCAATATTGATGAGAGAATCCCGGGTCAAACAATAGTTGGCTATGTGGAAAAAATAATTCCAAATTACTCCAGAGAAGTCTTTAAACAGCAATTTAGGTAGGTACTTATAAGCCTTGCACTCTACTTCTAAAACATATTTTTGATAATGGCTAAAATTTTTGTTAATAAAACTTATGTTTCTTTTTAGAATGTATCCAGAGACGGTGGATATTATCCTTGGGCATATTGGCCCTGCGTTAAGAAGAATGGGTAATTCCGGAAGAAACAGCATAGATGAGAAGAAGCAACTTTTAGTAGCAATATGGTTTATGGCTACTCCTGATTCTTACAGGTTAGTACCTTAGTATAAAATAATATCTTGTAAGACGTTTTTAAAAATCTGGAAAACACTATAGTCACCAAAAATAAGTGAATAATCGAGTGAATAGTAATTTTTTTTTACTATGATGCTGTCGTTTTAGATTGGATGATTGTCAAGTGGACAAAAAATAATTTTGACTCGTACTTATTTTCGGTGACGCTGACGATAGTACATATATTTTCATTATTTTATTAAAATACATATTTTTTTAGATCAGTTAAAATAAAGTTTGGGATTGGTCAAGCAACTACTTTTATAGTCCAGGAGCTGGCGTCGAAAATATGCAAGAGTTTTCGCAAGGCTCATATTTTCAGAATGAGTAGTATTTTAGTGCTACAAAGCTAGGTTACAGTCAGCAGTTCCAGTTCCGGGACACCTGGCGCTGAGATGCGCGCAAAGGTGTATTTTTAATCAACACCTCGCAACAGTTTTCGCAAAGCTGAAAATTTGCAAAGAGCATGCGAATATAATGTAGAACCATAATTTAACAGTCAGACAAAGAAATACGGGGACACGTAGAGTCAGCGCGACTTTGAAGTGGTCAAAAAAATGACGTCACCGAAAGTGTTTTCGCATGGCTGAAATTTGGCAAGGTAATAGTAAAAACAATATATTTATTGAAAAAAACAGTCAGACACTTCTATGTCGGGACCTCGCCAGTCAGCAGTCGATTAAAGTGATATAGGTGGTAGCGCGCGTCAATAGGCATATAACCATGTCGAATAATAATTTCACCAAAAGTGTTTTCGCATAGCTGAAATTTGGCAAGGTAATAGTAAAAACAATATATTTATTGAAAAAAACAGTCAGACACTTCTATGTCGGGACCCCACCAGTCAGCAGTCGATTAGAGTGATATAGGTGGTAGCGCGCGTCATTAGGCATATATCCATGTCGAATAATAATTTCACCAAAAGTGTTTTCGCATAGCTGAAATTTGGCAAGGTAATAGTAAAAACAATATATTTATTGAAAAAAACAGTCAGACACTTCTATGTCGGGACCTCGCCAGTCAGCAGTCGATTAGAGTGATATAGGTGGTAGCGCGCGTTATTAGGCATATATCCATGTCGAATAATAATTTCACCAAAAGTGTTTTCGCATAGCTGAAATTTGGCAAGGTAATAGTAAAAACAATATATTTATTGAAAAAAACAGTCAGACACTTCTATGTCGGGACCCCACCAGTCAGCAGTCGATTAGAGTGATATAGGTGGTAGCGCGCGTCATTAGGCATATATCCATGTCGAATAATAATTTCACCAAAAGTGTTTTCGCATAGCTGAAATTTGGCAAGGTAATAGTAAAAACAATATATTTATTGAAAAAAACAGTCAGACACTTCTATGTCGGGACCTCGCCAGTCAGCAGTCGATTAGAGTGATATAGGTGGTAGCGCGCGTTATTAGGCATATATCCATGTCGAATAATAATTTCACCAAAAGTGTTTTCGCATAGCTGAAATTTGGCAAGGTAATAGTAAAAACAATATATTTATTGAAAAAAACAGTCAGACACTTCTATGTCGGGACCCCACCAGTCAGCAGTCGATTAGAGTGATATAGGTGGTAGCGCGCGTCATTAGGCATATATCCATGTCGAATAATAATTTCACCAAAAGTGTTTTCGCATAGCTGAAATTTGGCAAGGTAATAGTAAAAACAATATATTTATTGAAAAAAACAGTCAGACACTTCTATGTTGGGACTCCCTCAGTCAGCAGTCGATTAAAGTGATATAGGTGGTAGCGCGCGTCAATAGAATTTTACTCTATATATTATATCCATTTCGATGAATAATTTTATTTCTATAATTTAAATTATTTGGAATCGGAAACGGTAAAATACATTTTTTTTTTCTCTTAATGAGTAAGTGTAAACCTGTAAGTTGCAAGCGTAAGCGCGTATACTTGAATAAGGCGTATATGCATTCGAATTCGGAAACTTCATTATGGTACTGTTAGGTCGAGATTAGGGGAAGGGAAGCGGCAGATGTGATTAGAATTTTTTTTTTGTATTTTATAAAATCGGCGATGATTATAAGTATTTAATGAAACTACAATAAATATAATTAAAACTGAATTTATTTAATTACTATAGGTATACTATCACAGTACTGCTGATTAAATGGTCAAGTAATATTTATACGAATCGGGCTTTTTTCTAACCGCAAACTTTTTAACTGCATGTACAATTTTATTTTACCGTTTCCGATTCCAAATAATTTAAACTATAAAAATAAAATTATTCATCGAAATGGATATATGTATATAGAGTAAAATTCTATTGACGCGCGCTACCACCTATATCATTTTAATCGACTGCTGACTGAGGGAGTCCCGACATAGAAGTGTCTGACTGTTTTTATATTGTTTTTACTATTACGTTGCCAAATTTCAGCTATGCGAAAACACTTTTGGTGAAATTATTATTCGACATGGATATATGCCTAATGACGCGGTACCACCTATATCACTCTAATCGACTGCAGACTGGCGGGGGTCCCGACATAGAAGTGCCTGACTGTTTTTTTTCAATAAATATATTGTTTTTACTATTACCTTGCCAAATTTCAGCTATGCGAAAACACTTTTGGTGAAATTATTATTCGACATGGATATATGCCTATTGACGCGCGCTACCACCTATATCACTTTAATCGACTGCTGACTGGCGAGGTCCCGACATAGAAGTGTCTGACTGTTTTTTTCAATAAATATATTGTTTTTACTATTACCTTGCCAAATTTCAGCCATGCGAAAACACTTTCGGTGACGTAATTTTTTTGACCACTTCAAAGTCGCGCTGACTCTACGTGTCCCCGTATTTCTTTGTCTGACTGTTAAATTATGGTTCTACATTATATTCGCATGCTCTTTGCAAATTTTCAGCTTTGCGAAAACTGTTGCGAGGTGTTGATTAAAAATACACCTTTGCGCGCATCTCAGCGCCAGGTGTCCCGGAACTGGAACTGCTGACTGTAGCCTAGCTTTGTAGTACTAAAATGCTACTCATTCTGAAAATATGAGCCTTGCGAAAACTCTTGCATATTTTCGACGCCAGCTCCCCGACTATTAGGGCAGTGAGAAGAGTGTCAAACGCATTACATGCTCTGGCACCACATGTCATTAAATGGCCATCAGGAGCTGAAATTGAAGAAAATGTAAATGCTTTCAAAAATATGCGTGGGTTTCCAGGGGTAATTGGGGCCATTGATGGCACACATATTAAAATAAGAGCTCCCACTGCAGATGCTGAGAGTTATATTAATCGAAAAGGATTTCATTCTATACAACTACAAGTTGTGTGCAATGCAAAAAATAAATTTTTGCATTGTTTTGCTGGATACCCAGGCT